AGTACAATAATCAAATCAGGTCATTTAATGGCCAACATTACTATTGATTAGTTGGCCTTGAAGTTGGTTAGAGGAGGAAGAGAACTGGTTGAAGATATTTCTTCTATGTGCATAGCTCTGGTTTCTTCATCCGGATGACTACAGCTTCAGCCGTTTGCAGGACTTCAAGTCTGACAAGTTTGACAAAAAGTTACTGACCCTATAAGTCTTTGAGAAGAATTGGTTTATACTGACACTATGATCAGTTTGTATTAAATGTGGCAATATCGAGCTGTTCACTTTCTTCATCAAACCATTGTTTGGTTACGTTGGAAGGTGTTCACAAGCACGAAAATGTCATATGAATATTAACAATTTTACCCTATTTTCTTTGACAATCCCAAATACACATGCTATAAACAATATACTTTACCCTAAAACCTAACCATTTTTTAGGATTATTATTTTGAATCTAATAACTGTAAAATCTGAAGAGAATTTATCAAAAATGAATATTCTTTGTTCAAATATTAGTCTTTAAATATAATGAAGATCTTTAAACGATTAAACACGTAAGATTGTAAACACCTATTGAATTTACCATTTAAACTAACAAACAATTTTCTTTAACTTATAACAAACTGACAATCATTTAAAGAATTAAAAACGTAATTAAAAGTTTACAGAAAAAAATAGTGGAAAAAATTTGTTTTTTTTTTCAAATCAACAACCTGTTGTTATTTGTTGTTGTGTTATTACTTTATTCACTTCTCTCCTGATATAATGTATCATATGTTTAAAAGGTTTTCGTTTATACAAAAAATGATATATAGTGTTAATCTAAGATATGGATTCGTTTGAACATTATAACAGAGAAGAAGAAAGAGAAAAAAGAAAAATAATTATCCTTTAACAGGTAAGTAAATAATTATCAACTAGTTATTTAACTAGTTCGTTCATTATCCATGTTGATACTCAATTCTTATTGTGTATCCTGATATAATAAATCTATATGAATAATTTCTTAGTTTTTCAAAACAATTTTGTTTAATTGGTTAATTGTTCGTTCGCCTTCAACGAAAAAAAAAGTAGAGAAAAATAAATAAAATAAGATTGTAAATAAACTTTTTTTAAAAAGATGAGAAAAAAGAAAAAAGGAAAAGAAAAACAATCAATAAAGTTGAATGACGTTGTAATTAAAAGAGAGAAAACAACTAATTCCGTTCATTTTATTGACAAGAAATTCTTTTTTTTTCTTTAGATAGTAAATAAATTGAATCAATGATCATGTTATGTAGAAGAATGATTTGTTTATCTTTTTGTTTTGGATGTACTTCAATGACTAAGTCAATTGTTTGAAAATATCATTGTATTTTCATTTCATTGAATTGATTCGAATAAATGTCAACTGAATAATTCTATTAGAATAATCAAGTGCAGATTAGCAGAATTAGTGTTAAGTTAATAATTTATATATGTGTAAATAGATTGTGATAATATTTGTCTACATGAAATGATTCAGTTTTAGTTTGAAAAGGACAGGAGTCTAGATGACTTTGTGTTAGTCATGTCAATGATGATCTCTTGGTGAATTCAAATTTTTTTTTGAAAAGATTGGTAGATGAAACGTTCATCACATTTTGAGAGAATGAATTCCATTCTTTGATGATTCGATGGGAGAGTTGATAGCCAACTGACAAATAATTTGTTCTTAGCTTGTGTATATTTTTATAATGTTCTTGTTCAAAGTGAGGTGCAAATTAATCACTAAGTAACTTAGAAACTATGACCAAACTGCCTCTGGTTCCTTTATATGACAATCGAAACAGGTTTGGTTTAGCCAGTCAAGCATCATACAGGAGCTTTGCTATTCCGGGAATCAGCTTAGTTGTGATTCTTGGAGTTTAACAATCACAAATCAATGAAGAATAAATAGGTGCACTCGTTGCTATGCCATAGCTGAAAAGTTACAATGTACTGACATGATATATAAACTATAAAACCTGTTTTTCCTCCTCACATACTCATGGATATTTTTCGTTTATCACAGACCAGAATAGTGTTAGTAATAATAGTTTTCAAATAGCTTTTATTCACAGTACGAGTAATGACATTTATAGTCTATGAATTTTAAAGTATAATATATTTAAACAATTTTTTTAGTGTCTTAAAAAAGCTATATGATATGTATATCTTGAATTATTTCCAAACATATCAGCTTTCAATACGAGAGTCTCATTTCAGAGAAGAGAAGTGATATTAAACTTTGGATCATATGAACTTGAAAATTCAATTAATTCTTTTTTGTTTATTTATGATTCTCTAACGTCTTTCAAGTTATCATTTTAGCGATTGTGAAGATTGTTAAGTTTTTGTTCGAGATCATGAACTGATTGATGTTAGACCCCCATTGAAAACCTGGTAGCACTGGACGGCCGTTTCATCCTATTGTGGATGCTCACTGCTGAGAAGTCCCACAATTGGACGAAAGGACCGTCTAATGTTCCCAAGTTTTCAATGGTTGTCTAACATCAATCGGTTCGTGATCTCAATCAAAAAATCTTTTGGGTTCTTTATTTTTAGTTACTATCAAGCGTATTGATATTTTCAATCTGATTAACATCAAGGCCTTTTTTCAAAGTCATTCCATCTCTAAATAATAATGACAAATTATGGTTGATATAGAAACGCATACTTAAATTACTTATAATATATTCTTGCTTACTTGTTAGGTAAGTTCAAATGAAGTTTAACAGACCCAATAAACAAAATTGTGTTTAAATGTATTAAATTACTATCTAGTTGGCTTTTAAAGAATGCTGAATACGATTATCATTCATATCTCTTTTTTTATAATTAAATTAAATTTCTGCATTAAACTTTATATTAAAAAAGTAAAATGGCACCATATTTGATTATAAATAAAAATAGATATAACTGTAAACTTTGTCACGTTCTCATTATTATTAAACTGAACAGGTATTTACAGAGAGAGAAAAAGATTGTACTTAGTATTCGTCACGTTTTTAATCTTATGTATTACTCAATCATTTTCAAATAAGGTAAATAGTATTATCACTGGTTATTTGTCGATGAATATATCGAAATGTATATAGCTCACTTCCTGTAAATATTTTCATTGTTCATATATTGTTTGGACGAGTTCATAAAATATCTAGTGTTTATAATTATTAGTTATTAGAATGTCAATGATAACAAGTTATTCTTTATACTCCTTTACTTCAATTTAAAATCATAAAAATTATGTAATATGTAAACGACTATACTATCATCTTTAGTTTCAAATATTTACTGTTTCCCATATGTAGGTGTTGGTAGCTACTACTAATGAAGATAAATTATAAAGACATAAAATTACTGTTAACCAGTGGAATAAAAGGGATTTAATTGTAGGAAGTCAATACTGAAAACAGATTATTTAACCCGAAACTCTAACAATCGCCAAACACACATAGGCTTTAAGTAGGTTCGTTAATGACTAGCTAAATATCATTTATTCAAGGGGCTATAAAAAGTGATTTGGTGAATCAAAATTTTAAATTTAGTATAATAGCACTGAAAATAATGATTAACCTTGGTAACTCTGATATAGATGTCCTTCTCACTATCATTCGAAAACTCCTAAACAGTGTGTACTTGCATAATAAGCTTAAATATGTATCAATAATTGGATCATGGACGTGAAAAATATTTCCAAAAGTATGTTTTTAAGCATACACTAGTCAAAACATACTTTTGTTTCCTGTATTTATAAACCATCAAATTTCCTGAAAAAAATTGCTCAATTCAACAAACGTACTTCAGCGATCATACAGAACGAATTTAGACTGTGTTATATCCATATGGAAAAATATCGTAAATCCATGTTTATTTGAGAGGTGTACTTTGATTTTCTCGCTTAAAAGTTGTCGAAATTTTAATTTCATACCATTAGTTAGCCACTTTCTTGCAAATTGAACCAGATTATTAATTTGATGAAGTGTACATTGAAGCCATTTATGCATCACAGACTAACTGCTGATATTTAGATTGGAATGAAAAGAGGGATTTTATCAAACCATAGTTTAATCATTTGATAATAGTAACAAGTATCAGAAACATTTTAAAATAATTTTTATTGAATATAGATTCCTAATTTTATTTTTTATTGATTATCAACAGAATTCACAAACGTTTTATTACATATAGACTACTAAAGTGATTGATTATGGCAGTGCTAGTACAGTGATCACATTTCTAACAATAGTAAATTAATAAGCTGAAATAATTAACTTTTTCTTTTAAAAATCGACAAATTTGAAATTAGTATCAGAAGGAGTTTTGTGGATATTGTAGTAATTTTAATAGTTGAGATCATGAGTCAATTGAAGCTAGACTACCATGAAAAACCTTGAAGCATTAGACTGCTGTTTGAACCCATGAGCTATCAGTCTCGCGATCACTTAACCACTAGACCACTGAGCCGGCATCTAACGGTGTTGATGTCCAACTCCAACTAGCCCACAAGAGTGAACCACACATCCACCATTGTCATCATTGAGTAACTATTTCACAACAGACCTGGTCGAACTCCACTGTTCACAGCTTTTCATTAGAACTCCAGGATATACCTCTTGAAGCCAGTCACTAGTCAACATCTGTTGAATAATATCAGAAGAGGGTTTTGTAGATATTATAGTAAGTTGAAATTCACTTTCAGATCTGAAATTATTTGTTTCAAAAATAATAAAACGATTCAGACAATAAATAGCAATGATGTTCTTAATTCTAATCTGATAAAGTCCTATCACAAAAAGCCTTTCAGTTTAATGGAAAAATAACTAATTTTTCGAAGAAGAAGAAGAAGGAGAAAAAAACTAGATAATTTGTACAATTAGGTAAATTATCTGTCAACAATACTTACAATTCTATTGGTTGATAATATTTATTTTTCATTGGTCAATATTTTTGGATATAATAATAAATCGGAAATACTTTTCCATTATAAACATTCAGCTACATTTTTACAAAAAAATATTAAAATACAACACCACTTGAAAATAATTTTTTTTCATTATTTAAATTCATTTTACATTTTAATTGATAATGTCTTTGCCAAGAAAAATTAAAAATATACCAAGGTAATCAATAATAATAATAATAACATATCATCATGATATTATCGATTGGTAGTAATTTTACAGAATATCATCCAAAAGTACATCATTCATTAGGTACATTATATAGTGTTGCACCAATCATTATTTTAATTATTGGAATACCCGGTAATTTATTATCAATGGTTATATGGTTAAGACGTTTATCTACAACAGTTGGTTCAACAAGTTTATTAATTGGTATTATGTGTATGACTGATACATATGTTATAGCACATGGTTGTCTAAGACAATGGATAATTGGTATCACTAATGAAAAGGTGGATATACGTATCAAATTTGGCTGTGGTATACCATTATTTTTATTCACTTTTTCAACAGATTTATCAACATGGATAATCATTTTATTATGTATTGAAAGAGCTATATGTGTTTGGACTCCAATCAAATTTAAACAATGGTGTAAATTAGAACATGGAATAACAGCTTTAATTTTTGTTGTATTATGTTTGGCCAGTGTGAATATTCACTATGTATGGACTGTATATGTAAAAGATAATTCATGTGCACCGAAACAAGAATATAAAGCGTTTCATTTATACTGGCCGTATATTGATTTTGCAATTTATTCATTTATTCCCTTAGCTTTCATACTACTAGTAAATATAAGTATTATATGGAGGATGAAAACTACAAATGTATCAACAAAAAACACACAAAATTCAATAATACCAAGAGTAGCACTTATAAGTGATAGTTCAGAACAAACATCTTTAAAATCGCGTACTTTACATAAAGACAAGTCGTCATCAGCTCGTGAACAACGTTCTGCACGAGTATTACGAACAGTAGTTTGCATGACTATAAGTCATTTTTTATTAACAATGCCAGTAGTATTCTTTTATTTATTTGAATCGAAATTTTGTATTGATAATAAAGATTGGATAAATGTCTGTGATACAATCGAAAGAGTAACAGTAATATTACAAATGATTAATCATATGACACATTTTTTTATTTATTCTTGTACATCAAGTGTATTTTTGTCAGATTTAAATCGTTTATGTAAAAATCATCCATTGAAATGTTGTCGATCGGTAAATACAATGAATACTCGACTTGTCAATACATCTATCAATGTTGTAGATAATCATGCAGTGAATTATTCACAAGCTTCACCAAACTAGAAAGCAATAAAAAAAGGCGTTGACCTCTTTCAATTGAACCTAATCAATGTTGATTTATCAAGATCCCAAATATTTGAAAAGAAACCAATTACATTGGTCTTCATTCATACTGTTTGTCTACAACATTTATAAAGTTAATATATCACGTTTGAAACACGTTTTAACATTCATTGTGTTTAAAAATGAATGAATTTATGTGCATATATATATACATTGACTGTCACTTGCTGCTAATTATCGTTTTTTTACTACGTATTTGGCAATTACATGTGCTTACAGGCGAGTTTAATAGTTATATATGACGATATTACAATTATTTTATCCTGGAGATTGTATCTTATCAGTATTTTACAATTAAAAATCAAGTTATCATAGTTAACTTAATGAGAAATGATTAGTGCTGTTAAATTAGGATTGTTCTTTGTTTACTTCTCCATTTATTTGTTGTGTATATAAATTAATCTTTGAAACAGACACTTCCCAAGAACGGATGAAATGTTGATCTGTCTTGGAGTTGTGTTTATATGACTTATAAAATTGTTTAGCATATTGTTGTAAAACTAGATGTCTTTTGTTTTCAAATATAGGGAATAATCTTGTGTTCAATGCAATTAGCAGAGAGAAAAACAACCTTTGCTTTGCTTGGTAACAGTTCCGAATTTATAATCTATATTTTTTATTGTTATACCACTACGACAGAATAAGCTCTTTCCGATAAAAATCAACATTTTCTCGAATACTTGGTATTGTTTTGCTTGTATCTTCCCATTGAGGTTTAAGACTGCAATTGATCAGTCCGTTATTAGCATATGTGCATACTGTGCGTATGCCTCGATATTGCCTTAATTCACAAGCTTTTATAAGCAAAGATGGATAGTGACTAGTAGTGGAATCCAGAACGCGCGTTTCGTCCTATTTGGGATGTCAGCTGGATGTACCTGCATCTCAGATTTGATGTTCACTTCGGGACTCGAACCCAGTACCATTCACTCCAAACGTCATCGCTTTATCCACTCAGCTACTGAGTCTCGATAGCCACTTGCTTGTGCAATGGGGTGAATTTAAATTCTTGAACATTAACTTATTTCAGAAATCCATAGTTATTTGTAGCTAAGTTTACACTAACGTCGAAGTAGTCAAGAACAATTGACAACTAAAAACTACTAGAAATCTGTTCTATCATATTTTCTAATCTCGCACTTTTATACATCTGTGATGCCACAAAGTAAAGAGTATAGCAACTAGAATTCTCACAAAGGACATGATAAATAACAACATTCGGGATGATGATTCCCAGCAGTATGAATGTGTCATTCAAATAAAATTATTTTGTTTAAAAACCTTCATTTTTACTTGTTCTCTGACATTTTTGTCTCACTGACGGGGTAACAGCTTTCATAAAATAGAGTATTAAGAAAAAAATTGCAATGATAACTGTTTTTTTTGCGAGAATAATCCAATTGATTTTTGATTAGGATCACGAACCGATTGATGTTAGACCACTGTCGAAAACCTGGAAGCACTGGATGGCAGTTCCATCATATTTTGAGACTCCTCCGTCGTGCGTACCCATGATCGCGCTCATGCGATTCGAAATCATAGCCTTCAGTCTCGCGCGCGAACGCTTAATATAGTATTTATTTCTTTAAATATACAACCTTTTTTTAAATTACATACTGATTACCTATTTGGTTAAAAAAACAATTTATTATTATCTTAATGCAGACTGACCACATAAAAAAGAAATTATAAGTTGTTCGTGTATCAAAGGTTATACCGATAACCGCAAATGCTATAACTTAAAAACTGATCGGATTATTTTAAAAAAATGGTTTTTTTTCTTAAGAATTGGTACAGGAGTGAAAGTATACCACATACTGTTATATTGTATGCTTCCTAGTGTTTCTTAAAGTGCCCTAAAGTCTTTTAGTTTATTTTTTTTATTTTTACGAAGTATCTAAGAGACAAACTATAGTTTTAAATAAATTTCTATTTCCTACTGACTGTCATTTATTTAGTAATTCGGGATATAAAATGCAAACAAAACTACAATTTGATTTGTTGTTTGATAAACAATGATCATTATTTTGTTATGTAAAATCAGTTAGCTATTATTTTCATAAGTTTAAAAATAAAGAAATTCTTCAGTTGAAAATGAAATAAGGTCAATTAAATCAAAGTATGTACGAACACTTTCAATAACATTCCATGTGTTCAGATCCAATTCATAGATTATATGTTAAAACAATTGATTCAATAGCACAATAGGTGACCTGAAATTATTACTCTGTATCTTTTTAAGAAAATAATTTTATGTAGTAAGGGTATGATCTATTTCCTTTACATATTTTTAGCTAACTTAAGATGATAGTAGATCCTTTTCCGTTGAATAAAAAAGTGATTACTTTAAGGCGCGTGTATAGTTAAGTTAGATTTGGTGAAACACAAGATTTAATTTGAATACAATTATAATAGGACAAACATGTTGACCACGCTACACTGAAGTTTTTAAATGAATCATAAAATGTTGATGTATATAATTCACAAAGAAATGATTATAACAGTGATGGTTCATTCTATATTAATATTAATTTACTTCAAGTGTAAAATTGATCCTTATTAGTCTTTTACCATTACTTACGCCTGTTACTCCTTGTGAAGGAACATAGGCCACCCACCAGCACACGCCATCCAACCCTATCCTGGGCAATCCTTTCCAGCTCCTTCCAGTCGTTATTCATCCTTTTCATATCTGCTTCTATTTCTCAACGTAATGTGTTCTTTGACCTTCCTCTTTTCCGCTTCCCTTCAGGATTCCAAGTTAGGTCTTGCCTCGTGATGCAGTTTGATGATTTGCGTATTGTATGTCCTATCTATTTCCATCGTCTTTTCCTAAAATCCTCTTCAGATCGAAGCTGCTTTGTTCTCTCCCAGAGAACGCTGTTGCTGATGGTATCCGGTCAATGGATGTTGAATATCTTGCATAGACAATCATTTATAAATACTTGTACTTTCTTAATGGTGGTTGTTGTAGTTCTCCAAGTTTTATTTCCGTACAATAGAACTGCCTTGACTTATTAGTCTTAGAGCTGATATAATTTCAACTGAATTGTGATTTTGAAAAGTGAAATTTTGTAGGTATCTACATTACTGTTAGTGATAACATATTTATTTCAAAAAATCACTACCTTGTCACTTGAAAAGTCCCAAACGGTTAAAAAATTGAAGTGTCTGAAAAATGTTTGGATGGTAAAATGCTTCCCTAAATGTAGAAAGTTAAATTATAATTATTGAATCCATGTATCGTTTTATCTGCAGGCTTTAAAGATCTTGAACGTGTTTTGGTATAATGTTTTGTATGTTTATTCTTGATGGTTTTTAAATTAAGTATAACTAACATCTCAATTCACTCTGAATTATATACGTTTCCTAACTAGCAACAATTTGCGATATAGAATTACATCTAAACGATGATTAATTATAGGTGAGTAGCAGTTATTAGATTTTGAGTAATATAAGGCAAAATAAACAAAAGACATTTTTAGGTGATAGAATTAGGGTTTGAAATGGATCAATGAAACAAATGAGAATTTTCCTCTCTTGGAAAATTTCTGTTGCTGAAAACAAATTTATCCATTAAAGTCATCATTTTTTAATCCAATAACACGGACTATAAACTCATTCAAATAGAAATTTATATGTATTTATTCTCTCTCTCTCTTTCTGTATAAATGAAAAGTAAAGGTTGATTAATTTTCTAGTCAAGTCAAGCATATTTTCATTGAAAAAACTTAATTATTATATTGTAAGGTATGATCAAAAGTTTATGTGTGTTGCCATGATATTTAATTTCGTTTACCATGAAATGAGTTTTGTCAAATACTTAGAGATAAATATACTTTATAACACAAATTAGTGCTAAATATAACTCGGTTTTGTTCTCCTTCACTGCATAGGTTTTGAAAGATAATGAAATCATTTAAGGTGCTTTTAAATATCGTCAAATATACCATATTTGAGTTTATATTGGTATCATAATGATACTATATATTAATTATAGGATAACAGTTTTATTGATTGACATTAAATGAACTTTATATAGATGAAGGTAAACACAACGCAGACAAATGGATCTGTCGTGTTTTTTGAAAGAATTTCATTGTCAATAAATCAATATTACATACGCATAGTTCCCTTTATTATTTTGAAAAGAGCAAGAACAAAGATTCTAGCAGAATAACATGAATTCATTTTATTTCGTAGGCTCTCGTCAGCTGCTTACAACCTATAGTATTTAAAAAGATAACAATTACATAATGGGTTTAAATTGCTTACATGAGAGGGTTTATATTGAAGAAATATTCGTAAAGTATGACATGGGTGTAAATGAAATTAATAGGCTGAATATTGTAAATATATACCTAATGTGAAAGAATATTCTAGAGCATTAATTGTGACAATAGTTGAAAAGTGGGTTAGAAACAATTGATTACATAATGAATAAACATTGATAGGAATATAGTGAGTAGAGTTCAGTCGAAAGATTATTAATTTTTTTAAAGATAGTTGAAAAATAAAATCAATGACGTAATAAATATAAAAGATAAAAATTTAAAAAAATTTAAGCTGCAGCGGAAGGGAAAGATTAACAATCATCTCCTATTGAACACATAAATCAGGTTTTTGGCGCCTGATAGCAACTGCTTTAGTAAACTTTATATTCAGGTACCATTTTGGTAAGATTTTAAATCTATTTTAAACCCTCGCTTCCATCTGAACTATACATATATACTTATTTATTGAAATATTTTTTATCATCAAAATTTAATGAAATACTATTTTATTCATTAGTTCCACTTAACATTAAATTAATTTTCCATTTACAGATAATAAGTACTTTATGTTTATGAATATTTAGGTTGTTTTGATGAAACTAAGTTATTTACACATTTAAACTATGTTAAGATGAATAATTTTAAAGTAGTGGTTATCAATAAAAAAGGATGTCGTACACTTACATTATGAGCTAAGTATTCAGTTATTGTTTTTTGGTAAAAGTTTACAAAGCAGGAGCTTGTGTATTCCAAAAACTATCCTCTCAGAAAAATAACAATCGGATAACATGTTACCAAGAATAAATCTTTCTCTGTTGTTAATGTATGTATGCAGTGTATTCTATTTTTTTTAATGAATTTACTAATTCGCCATAATATATGGTATTTTAACATGGGTTTTGAAAAGACTACACATGAAATTATCAATCCCAATTCAATACTATA